GCGTTTCCCTCCCCTCCACTTCCGCGTGTCCGCTCGAGATAAGCTCAATGTATTTATGTTAGTTATGTTATCGTCTAAATAAATCCTTGTTTTGTTGTTAATTGGTGTCTTTACTTCGAGTATCGCTCACACTTTACCGACGACCCCTCTCACCTCCTCCACTCGACCTGACAAAAGAATCCCGACTTTACGGGATAGAACAAGCATTTTCTAAGCCATCCACTGACCAGTGGGCAGTTCTCACCCAACTGTTGCCTATCAAAAAGAGGTACGACCTCGTCCTACCTCAGGCTACCCACACAAATATCCAATGGTTTAACCATATACAATTTATTATTCAATTTTCTCTTCTACATATGCATTTTGGGCTGACATAAATTCTCAGCCCCTAGCATACTTGATATAAAAAGATTGTAGAGTTAAAATTAGCCATGCTGTGGCTAAGTTTGAAGTGCTCCCTACGAAAGCCTAGTCAGAAGCATTGTTCTGTAAATAAAATAATCTATATATTAATTTGGTAAGTCTCAAATACTGTCCAGCTAAATTTAAGAGGTACAAACATACTAAGGGTACATAAGGGTTCATGTGTCAAAATTAAGCTCTTGCCCTGTAGATGAGTCCATTTCAATCAGAATTGAAAAATTCATAACCATTTGGGCATGGTGGAGCTGAAAAGTACAATGTTAAGTCTATCAGACAAATATGTCAGATGCTTATGCTTCATCTAGCGATTTAGTTTATTTTTTAATTATTAGAACAACATGTTGGTCAACCCCTATTCTTAATTCCTGCTGTTTTTGCTAATTACACATTAATAAAGACTTTTTGCATTATTTTTAACACATATGATTAGCTATCTATTTAAATAATAAAATAAATTTAAGAACCATTTTTACTTTTTAACTGTTTTAATTTTTTAGAATTTGTAATGATAAAAATCCAGCAACAAATTACATAATTTACTATTTAGGACTTAGTACAAAACTTACTTAAGTTAGTTTTGTACTAAGTCCTACATAGTTTAACTTCTTCTAAGTAATATTAACTGTTACATAATTATGAAATACATGAACTTCTGAAATAAAATTTAACATTAAAATTTACTTTCAAATACAGAAATAAGACTTAAATCATATAAATGATTTAAATTCTGTAATGAGTAAAAAAATTATGAGATTTCCTTTATTGTAAGATCACTATTGGAATGTTCACACATTCACATTTTACTTTAAAATTATTGATGTTAATTATATACTTTATTGAAAATGTGTATCTTACCTTTATCTGAACCAAAGGTATTTCCATGCTCAACTGTTTTGTATTCTTGCATGGGATGCCTCCTTTCAATATAAGGTGAATCTATTTCTAACTTTTTATCATCAGATATAAAATCATTTCTGGAATTTATGTAATTTGACAACTCTGGTGATAATCTCAACTGATTTTTAAAACTGGCATCAAAATATTTTTCATTTAAATCAGCTTCACCTCTACACTGGTTAATACTAGTTTCATCTCTATTTTTTTGTAAATGTGGAGTTTTATAATAACGAAATGGTATATCAAATAATTTTCTTTCATCATTTGCTTCTTGTCTACAAGAAATGTTCTTTGAAATTGTAGATGACATAGAATTATAATTTGTCAAATAATTATTAACTTGAACACTTTTCTTTCTTAGTTTATCATTTGATAATGCATAATAATCACTAACATTATATTCACCTCTATAAGCATCATTTTCTACATAACTATTGAGACGTCTGTGAGTGGGATAAAATTTTGATCTTGACATACCTGTTGATAACATGTCATGATGAATACCATTACTATGAACACGTCTGAATGGACTTTCACTGTTCATCATGTCAGCTGATTCTCTTCTAACAGAAGGAAGAGAATTTGGTCTTGGTAGTGATTTATACAATTCTTCACTGGATGCATGAACATTACTCCCAGATACCCTTCTAATCTCATCAATTCTTGATGGATGGCTTGGAAAAACTGACATGTAATTATTATGGTCCATTTTTGGAGCTGAGTTTTCTATAGACTGAAACTCAAGTGATGACCTTCGATGCCTCTGATTTAATAACATTAATCTTGCACTTTTAGCAAATATTTGATATGAATTCTTCATCAGGTGTGGAGGTAATGGCTCAGAGTGTGTACTTCCAATACTATCACGACTTTCAGAACGAGATACTCCATCAGGGGATGATATATATCCATTTATACTAAGATACATTCGTCCAGGTAAATAACCCATATATTGGCACTGGTCTTGTTTATTACTTTGACAACCAAAAGTAAATCTATTTTCTGTTACAAGATGAGTTGGACTTGTTTTAGGACTATCTATATTATCGCAAGTCTCAGAAAGATTCTGATCTATTTCTGCTTCTAAAGCTCTCTGCTTTCTTACATAAAGCATAGGCATGTTGGTTTTACCATTACACTGCTGTGTTCCATTCATGCTTCTACTGAGTCCTAATGTCATTCCTGCAGGTCTTGCAGATAAGAGATTTCGTAATGCTGCTGAACTACCCATTGATATCATTTTGTGTTTTGAGTGAACTAAGTTTCGAAGCATGCTTACTGCACCCATTTCCCAAAGTGCTTGCTGGTCTTCAGAACATCTTGCTGAAAGATTCCATAAAGTCCCACAAGCATTACTAACAACAGTTAAGCTAGGTGATTTTAATTGTTGTAGGAGCAATTGAAGACAATTATGATTACGAAGAATTGTACGATATTCTTCTTTTACAGCAATATGACTTGAAATGTTTCTAAGAATTCCACCACCATTTTCTATAATAGCTAAAGTTTTGGAAGAACTTTTATATGTGAGTGTACTAACTAAAAATGCTAATGCTCCATCAACAGCACATATATCAGCTTTATTCATAGTGCAATGTGCAGAAAGATTCCACAGTGCTGAGAGTATACTTTTCAAAATTGATTCTTTAGTTGCACTCATTGCAGCTTTCATTAATGTTACAACAGCTCCCACTTCTCTAAGCATTTGTTTACTTGCTGTATCTGCTCTCCATGATAAGTTTCGTAATACACTTGCCGTTACCTGAAAGAAAATTTTTATGAATTTTTGAAAATCCATCAATTAGGAATCATATTCACAGATAAATTTGAATTGTATAAGATTAAACTTATACATTAAAATTTGTAAATGAAAAGAAAACTGAGACACAAAAAGTTCATAAGCATTGTCTAAATTTTTGTTAATTTTGAACTAAGCAATAATTATCATGTAATACTACTAAATTATAATATAATTAATTGAAGTAATATTTCCAATAGACTATAAAAGTTAATAAATATATAAGCTATAATATACTATATTATTGAAAGTATTATATAATAAGCAGGTTTAAACAATAAAAATCCTATGCAGATATGAATTAAAATACATTTTAATCAAGGACATAAGAAAAAATTAAATTGCTGTAATTAATGGCAAAACAATTTCTAAAGAGATAAAGATAATAAAAGAACAAATTTTGAAAGTTTAACTTTGGATGAATTGATAATACTAAATACTATATTTTATCTGAAATGAATAAAACAACTGCCATGAAATATGTTCATATTGGTATATATTTTTAATTTTTTGTTTATATTTTAATACATAGATATTTAAAACACTTTAATTTTACTAACCTGTCTAAGATCTTCACTTGGAGAATGTAATTGTGCAACCAAAGCATGCATAAAATTTTTCATTGAACATAATAAAGCTTTATTGGTACCATCACCAAAAGTTAAATTTGTCAATGCCATGCCAGCATATCGTCTAATTGTAACACAATATTGGTTGCTAGTATTTCCATGAACTTCATGATCAATTTGAATCAATTCAGCAATTGCTTGAAGACCACCTAAAATAATTAACAGAACATTTATTTTTTTCATAAAAAATGCAACATTATATAAAAGCAATAAATAGTAAATAATTGACAAAAATCCAGAAAAAAATATACAATTAGAATCTCTGTAGAATATTTTTAAATATTGTTTTCTGAACTAAAGAAAAATAATAGTAGTAGTATTAAATATTGCAAGTACATAACATTCAATAATACACAAACCTCCACGCAAAATTTCAGAAATTTTTGACAAAAAGCACAGGAGTTATTAAGATTCAAATTGGGTGAAAAAATTGTGCCTCCCACACAAACATCCATACATAAACCCCCCAAAAAGCTTTTGTATTTCTTAACGTTTCAAGGTGCAAGGTCCAAAAATGTAAAAATCTTGATGTGAGGTCTCAAACAGAAGTCAATTTATTGGTCCAAATGGAGATAATTAAATGAGATATTAAAGAGCTCCTTTTTCAGACACTAATAGGAAGAATTAAAGATCTCATTTGAACAATGAAAGTCTTTTTCTATAAAATTTAAAACAAAGGGTAAATTGTGTGGAAAAAACCACACAATTCACCCTTTGTTGAGGGAAACAGAGAGGAATCGTATTTATTTGCAAAGTTGACCTCTCCCATGCCCTCTGACAAGTTTTGAATTGTCACCAGGTGATGATGAGAGGCCAATCAAAAGGCAACTTTGGGGGTATAAAAATGCACGATTCAAGAATGTGACATTCTTGGATTGTGGTTTATTGCTCTTATCACTTTCTGTGTCCATCAACATCTGTTGTTGGATCTTCATCTTCCTCAGAGTGATGTTTGCTTTCCTGGAATTGTTCTCCTGCTTCAAGAAGCATCACTACTGCCAGGACCAACAGTTTGAAGCTGAACAAAGGGCTGATGATCTCGATAACATCGAGAAACCAAGAGAAAACAGCTTAAACAACTTTTGGACTGTTATTTGGTTTCTCTCCGCAAGAATTGTAACAATAGAGAATCACCTCTTTTGTAAGAAAATTTTATATTTTATTAAACGATTTAAATGATGGAAACCTGTCTCAGTGAATATTTCACTCCCATATATGACCCTCTTGATATTTCCACCCCAGTCGGCAACCTTACATTGGGAGGTCATTTTTTTGACCGATCATCATACAAACTCTCTCTTATTACAACAGGGAAAGTATTATAAAAATTAATTGAAAATAATATTGATGATTACCATGCATTAATTATGTAAAGAAACTATGTACAGTACATCCTGCAATTCAGGTAACATACAAATTTGATACATTTCTGGGTACAGATATAAGAATTTAAATAATATAGTACTTGTTAATTCTTAATAATAGTACTTGTTAGAATTCTTTCTGTCACAAATGTCAGTAGGGCTATGCTAGTAAGTAAGGCCTTCTCTTTTGCTTATGTCGCAAATGTCAGTGGCAATAAACATGTAATAGGCAAATAATATCTTTTGAATCAGCATGTATTTATCATATTCATGTGCCTACCATAAAATGTGAATTGTGCTACAGAACATTGGTTGCAGAGTTCTGATGTAGATAACACACTATTCTTGTGGCAAAAAAGACATGTAAGATTAAAATTATGACACTTATGTGTTGCGGCGTTATTGACAGCGATTTGTTAAATTTCAGATATGTAACATAAAGATATGTAAGATTTTAAAAATTTTAAAGTTTTAAAGGCATCTTAATCTACCTAAGCAATGTCAAATCCTACATAAAGTTCACAATTGAGTAGTAACAAAATTACTCTATTTAATATTTGTTACTACATCAAATGAGAACTGCCAACTTTAGTCTTTTGTATTTTATAAATCAACGATGCCTCTCACATTTTAACATAAATGTTTTTCAATTTGGTATATATTTATTTCAAATTTATGTAATTATCTACACCCCTTGTTTTGGCTTTGTTCCTTATATATGTTACTGCTAAAGTTCGAAATCCGTTAATGTGCGGATTACCTAGCTAATCTGCGAATTAACTAGGGTGATCCGTTAAAGCTGCGAAAATTATTCCATTTCTCAAATTACCTATGTGCAGAGTATCTAGGTAATCTGCAAATTACCTACTAGGCACTCGGTAAAATGAAATCAAGATTTTTGCTGGAACAACAGCAACGTTTCTGTACGCTTAAATTAACATATTGCAAATTAAATAAACAACATTATGTTAATTTAAGCGTACAGAAACGTTGCTGTTGTTCCAGCAAAAATCTTGATTTCACTTTACCGAGTGCCTAGTAGGTAATTTGCAGATTACCTAGATACTCTGCACATAGGTAATTTGAGAAATGGAATACTTTTCGCAGCTTTAACGGATCACCCTAGTTAATTCGCAGGTTAGCTAGGTAATCCGCACATTAACGGATTTCGAACTTTAGCGGTAACATATATAATCCATTAATCTGAACTTTTCAGTAATCAAAACAACCTCATAAAATAATTAATTTGGATTAACAAGAGCAAACTGTGTTTAAATAATAGTTGCTTAGTTTCTTCAGAATAACAAGTTGCTTAATTATAATCAGTTTCTTGAAAAGAAACTGATTATAATTAAGCAACTTGTTATATAAAATTCTGTATAATTAAATAGATAATTAATTATACAGAATTCTATATTTATGCAGAAATTATCAGTTAAGTTTAAATGCATATTTATAAATTTAAAATATTAAAATAATTAAAATTAAGTTTTACAAACCTAATTGGCACATTGCATGTCTATGTTCTTCATCAAAAGATAACTTCATTAATGCAGCAATTGCTGGTCCTGGATGCTGATCAATAGTATCTGCTAAAATGAGTCTATTATTAATGTAGTTATATCACAATTTATTTACTTATTTATTTTTACGTCATTTACACTTAGTTAATTTTAAAAAAATCTTAACAGTAAAAATAACATGTATTACTAATGTATGAGGTTATATATACTTCTATACATAGAAGTATATATATTCGAAGTATTGTGAAGACCCAACCGAGGTCCGAATCATGTAAATCGCGATATTCCTATGATTAAATAATAACAATAGATTAATTATGAGAGGGAGAGGAAAATCCCATAATTTAAACAACGCGGCACAAAATGTAGACAACGAGTCTCAGATGACTCGAACACGTGTTAAACTAACTGTCAATGTCAGAGTGAAAAGTTATAAGTCAGAGACAAGTGGTCATATGCAGGTAGAACTTTGACCCCCACTCTCATAAACAGTCAATCTAGGGAAACAATTTCTGAAAAGAGGGAAAGATTTAAGAGAGATAAATCATTGCATATGATCGTTCGAGTACCCAGATGACAGAAATTGCGAATAACGGAGTTAAATTATGAGCGCAAGTCTTGCAATTTTGTCAACAATCCCCAAGAACAATCGACAGAAAGGCGTCGAGCGGACACCTGGAATCGGACCTTTCCCGTGACCCAAGTCGGTCTCGATTTTCCCCAAAACAAAAGAGAGACCAATCGGGAAGCGAGGAAGGGGACGAGGGGCCAATCAGAAGTCCGAATAGTGGGAGGAAAAACTATAAAAATCAGAAAATCAAGGTCAAGAGAGCTCTCCTCCGACTCCACAAAAGGTAGTGACTTCTATTGTGGTGTGTCGTCGCAAAAGAACTGTGCATTCCGCCGCTTATATCTTCCGATCGTCCGCCGTGATCAGCAACAGCATCTCATCCGCTCCGGGGCTACAACCGACGCCGAAGTTCTCACACTCCGCATCTTCGAGGGAAGAATCTAGTGAAGGACTGTCGATTGCCGATGTAAGCATATATGTTAACAAATAAACGGCTTTCTTGTGTAAAACACTTGTCGTCATTTGCCTCCTCCGTCACCGCCTACATACAACCTTCCCTTAGGTCCATCCTGACGCAGGATTAATAGATCCCATCTAGGAGACGGCAACCTTACACAGATGCCGTGAAGTGGGTTTCAAGCCCCCTATCTCCCCCGGATCAGTCATCTTACAGTATATATAACCTCATACATAAATAATACCAAATGATCTACTGGATTTTTTTATCAGTTTATATTAAGACTAATTAATAATTCAAAACAAAGCAAAATTAGTCTTAATAGTATAACTTAGAGGCATAACTGCACAGTAAACAGGAGTTGCAGGTTTGAATCCAGCTCTGGGATGATTACAGTAGATCCCCTATAAGACCTATAATTACGATTCCTTTAAGACGGCGAAAAAATTGTGGCGGTATCCGTAAACAACAGTAAAAAAACTCCTATAATTACGTAAAACGTCATCGAGCAGCCAAACTACTTTCCGCCATCCAGCGCCATGCTACGGACAGTTTAGGCAGGTAAATTGAGTTTTGTATCGTCTGTACATATAATTATATATAAATTATATATAAATTAGGTACTGTATATATAATTATATATTAACTTAATTTATTGTAACTTTATTATAATTATATATATACTTTCGCCGTCCAGAGCCACGCTACGGAGAGTTTAGGCAAGTAAGTTAACTATACTATCGTCTGTACAGTATGTAAATTAGGTACCGTAAGTCTAATACAGTACTGTAATTTTATACATTTCTTGTGAAAGAAACATTTCTTATTCAACAGCGATTAAAATTATTTATATTAATGATGTCTCCAAAGTTCAACAAAATTTTCACAGAAAAATAACATCAGAAATCGCGGCCGCGGTTTGCTGCACTGTTCCGCAACAAAAACAAGCTTGAGCAACGATGATGTCGAATGGTGCACACTCGGTAAGTAATCCTACAATTTTTTGTTTATAGCGTAGTTTATACGGATTATTTCCAAAAAAAATATATGTATTTTGGAAATGTTGAGTCGGATTAGTCTAGAATCGATTAATTTTATGGAAGAAAACCTTTCAAACAGTCGTAGTCTGTAAACTTCACACGTGTCGGGCTGTGATTGGCTGTGATTCCTACAACATCGGATTCATAAAGAACGGAACGTATCTACCGTCTTATAGGGGGATCTACTGTAATTAAATTTCAATTTGACATTTCAACAAATTTTATATATATTTATATGTATGTATGTATGTATACATGCATTCATTTATAAAAGAAATAATGGTAATGGAAAAAAATTAATGAAAAAAATTAGATCAATAATTCATCACAATATATTTTTCATTAGAAAAATTAATTGTTTTATAGCTTGGTGCTATAAGCTATAAAACAGATTTTAACAAAATTTCAGCAGATGTAAAAGTCTTTAGAATCTGCCTAAAGAAGTATTATTTAAATATATTTTTTATCTATAAAAATATATTTATTTTATATATATATATATTTTTTTATATTTATACTTCTTGTTGTTTTATTGTACTGAAAATAAAGAATAACATAATCAATTGTAAATATAAATGTAACCAGCAAAGTTTCATATAAAATATTATAAATATGGTGCATTAAAAAGGCATTTAAGGTTAGCTATATTCTGATTATTTTATAGTATCTTTAATTTTAAGAAATTCACCCAATCAAAAATCATAGCAATAGTAATCATATTGTAAAGGAGGAGTCTCTTGAAACATGCCACAAAGGTGTATAAGAAAGGTGCATAAGGTTGGATGTGGTAAGTGCACCCTCAATTCTGGAATTTGAAAGTTTTAGTCAGTGATACAGAGTACAAATTACCTGATTTCAAAAACCAATTGCAAGAATAACTTACATGGTTCCATAGCAACAGGTCATGAATATCATAGGTCTCATGTGAGTATTATTTGTGATCCAGAATATGTTTTAAAAATAATGCTGAGGCAAGTGGGCCAAAGCAGATAAAATAACAATGACACATTAAAAGACAACAGAAATGTAAAGTGATTTACAAAACATGATGTATTGCTTGAGAGTAACTTTCTCTTGAAAAGGTAGTCTAGGACTACTTTTGATTCACCTCACTCCAGGTTATAATAAGACCTGAAGTTACAACAAGAAATAATTACACCATGTCTTTCAACATGGTATATTTTGCAAAGATACTTGACAATGTCTTGAAGAGGAATGTCTGCATAATATTCCACATAGGACCACTGGAAAACACAAGTGATTTCTTCTTGACAAGGTACATGAAGTTTACTGTGTTTATTGAAGTTGATAATAATAATTTGCCCAAAATAATGTCAGACACTTTTGTTGGATGAATAATCAACCATTAATATAGTGCATTTTTCTGTCACACAGACTCTCTACATATACTGCATTTATCCCACTAGCATGAATGCACTTACCCCAACAGTCAAAATTTTATAGGGTAAATACATTTCACAACATAGTTGCACCCATTGAAAAGAATGCTCAGAGATGCACAAATCCACACAGATCTGCTGATACCTGCTACTAAGACTCAATTCAATCATGACTCATTTGCTCAGTAGTCTAGCACTATGCTGCTAGATTACTATGGTCCAACACCAGTGCCTGTTCTAGGTGTGATCAAACTTCATAGTCACAAAGATGCTGAGAGAAACAGATGCAAAATTTACACTATTTACACTGATTAGTAAGCAAAAGAAATACCAAAACTTCTTGCACAAAGTACAGATATGATTAGAGTTGTTACTACACTACAATATAGAGAATATTAATAGAAAAACTCTTTGATTTATGAAATGAACATAAAGCAGCTCTGTTAATATATTTTATTATAATTCAAAGAAGAGTGCATATCTTGTATTTCTTGTAAATATTGTTAGGCTTAACATAGCCAATTAATTACCTTAAATACTCAAGCTATAAATCCACTAATTTTAATAATTAATACTAAGTACAATAATTTGCCACTAAAGATAGATGTTAGGTGCCATCTCTTATCTAAATTAATAATTATAATTTAAATAATTTAGAATAATCAGAAGAAAAAAGAACTGGTCTGGAGTAGGACTTAAACCCACAACCTCTGCTTGCCATGTGGTATACTTTCCAGTTGTGCCACCTGAACTTCAAGCAAACCTTTGCTTCCAGATGTATTTAAATTTAGATATAACCTTATGCGGTTAATCACAGTACCAGCTGGGGACAACTATACCCATGGCCTAAGTACAACTGGCAAGCAGATAAATTTCTGGCTAATTCTTGCCTGTATATAATGTTATCATTTCACAGAATATTTAGAAACTGTCTGAGTTAACTTATAATAACTTCAATATTGCTTTATTTTTTTACTGCTATAAAGTAAATTTTGAAGACTAAACTAATTAAATATGTAATTAAAAGACAGCCAACTTATTCCACCTCATGTGTGTGTATCTAAAGTGTAAAATGTTCTTAAGTTTATAGTATCTAATACTAAAATTTGTCAAAAGTGTTCTTTTAATCTGATAGATAAAAAGAAATATAAATATAGAATCCATGTAACAGTAATTGTTGTTAGCATAAAAAAATTAATCAAAAATGCCTGCTTTATCTATATCTCCATTCTTATCTTTATCTACCATATCAATTGTTTATATATAACTGAAATGGCTACTTTATAGTTCTTAAAGAGAGGTTTTAATACTGAAGACAGAAACTTGTCTAAGAGCCACCGCAAACTAGCGCTTTGCGAGAGTAAAACGCTAGCAAACGCGTTAGCACAGCTGATGACGTCGAAGGCTCCGCCCCTTTCTTCTTGCCCGCGCTGTTTTTTTTCTTCGCTAGCGCAGCGATACGAGAGTACACTCGCTGTTCACAGAATTTAACAACTAGAGCATTTACACTAGCGAGAAAGAGCGGGGAAGACGGATGACTACATAAACATGTCACATATCGAAAAAGAAATAATATAATTTTATCAATGTATGTAAATTACATGATTAATACATTCAGTATTGAAAAGAAAATAGTATAACCGTTGTATGTAAATAGTAATATACAGTATAAATAGTTTTCGGCTAGTTAAGCCTAGTTAGGCTTAATTAGTAAACATGTTTTTTTCTATGCTGTTTCAAAGTTCGGAACGAAAACTGACTGATTACAAGTATAGGTTATAATAAAATCTTGTTCTATAGCCAATCTACATCTGTGGAATCCACGTCATGTGGACTACGTTACGTGAGCAAACATTGTGTAGTTTGCGGCTGCTTCATGCCCACGTAGCTTACCTAGCAAAAATGGCTCATAGTATCATGGGAAAAAAGGCAGGGCTTAGGAGCGCGAGCGAGCATACGCTAGCTCCCGCATCCTGTAGTTTGCGGCGGCTCTAATACTGGCACATGAATAACCTTGCTAGTATTGCAGAATGTATGTTCATATTGTACTCTATTATAACTAATCCATTGGCTAATCCATGGATAACATTGTTTTTTGGAAAACCATGCCTTAGAACTATTGCATACACATTGTTCACATCTATCAACTTCTTATATCATTGTTTACATTATTTTATATCATCATATTTTTCATGATAATTTTTATTTATGAAAAATTAAATTTAAAAATTTTTGCTCATCAAAACTTATTATTAAATAATTATTTTCATAAAACAAGAAATTAGTGCATTTAATTAATTCTAAATTTATTTAAATAACTTTTTTACTATTATTATTGTCTTCCACAAATCCTGAGTCAATGTCTCTCAATAGATCACAATAATCCCTGATCTGTTCTAACAGACGCAAGACTCTTGCTTCACGTCGCCCTCTTTTGTCATCTGGATGGGCATGTACAATGTTGTGTAATGCCTGACTTGCACGTCTTCTTGCATCACGAACAACTTGCCTAAATAAACGGTGATCTTCATCAATAGAAGTGTCTCTTTCTCCACCATGCAACAACTGAATTAACAGTGGCAGACAACCTAATTTTAAAAATACAATAAACAGTATTAAAGTTTTTTTTTAATCAGTTTCATTAGTTTATTCTATACAATTAAAATTTTTATAACTAAAAATTGAAATATCAAATATATTATAAGAATTTATTTAAGTATTGATATAAATTTTTTTTAATATTGAAAAAATTTTAATTTTGAAAATTCTTTAATATTATGCCTGTTTCAAAATATAAAAAGGTTTCTAACATGAATCGAAATTTGAACAATAGCTAGATAACTTAAAATTTGTAATTGTTTTAATTTAATTATAACTGAAGCATTTTTTATGATAAAAGTTACAGCAAAATTAAAGGCACATCAGACTATGAATAACTAATAAAAAAAAAAATGCTCATTTATATACAATAAGTTTACCAATGAAAGAAAAGGATAAACCATTCTCTAACTTGTAAATAAAGTTTATATCATATACAGATTGGCATTCAAAAATCCAGCAACCTCTGGACCTGAGGACTGCCAGATTTTTTTTATGGTTATATATGTTGTATATATTTAATAGAAAATTACTACCTGTATAATCTTTTAAAGAAAATTAAACACTAAATGGAAAGCAAATGAAATTTTAATGTTCATCAACTAAATAAAACTAAGAATTTTATTTAGGTGCCTCCAGAAAACAGTGGCGAGCCAACACAGTAAATTTCAAAATGTGCTCTGAAATCCATGCCAGATTATTGATGACTGGATTTTTGAATGTCAACCTGTAATAGACTATTTCATATTAAAATGATATAAAAATGTTATTCACCTGATTGTCTCATTGCAATACAACTATCTTGTGAACTAGACATTTCTAATAAGGTTCTACTCATATCTTCTTTACCATGTGTTCCAAGCATTGATAATAGAGAATAAACCATTTCAACCTAGAAAAATAAAACAATTTTAATAAAATCAAGATACACATCATAACCCTAAATATCAAAGGACAAGACAATACTCAATCAACCATTATCACTAGAATACATTGAAAGTATATAGAAATTTAAAATGTTTCAGCATTTAAAAAGATTAACATTAAAAACTGAAAATAAAGCTTTATTGGTTTTCTTAATAAGCAAGTTTCTGATACATCCACAATGAAAGTATTTAACAGAAAAGAATCACTCAAAAAATACATTACAAATAAACCTTGATGTATATATTTTCAAAGTGAGTTTTAGTTAATACACTCACCAACATTTATATCATTTTTGAACCCTCTAAAGTTTCAAATAGTGTAGTTGATTATGAAATGAAAAAGTTTTAACAATGCAAAACAAAGTTGCCTGAAAACTGTCACCTATTGACAAGTTGACATTTTGTGCTTGCAAATCTGAAGGAGAGGTATGTGTGTTTTAAAGGAAGTTTTGACAAAAAAAAACTCAAACAGTTGTAGCAAATGTTTCAAAATTTGGAATTATATAGTTTCTACTAAGTATACTGCTTTGAAAAAACTGCACTTTGATAATTTGACACTTATACCTTTAAATTCTACTAAATACTGTATATTTCCGCACATAAGACGATAGTTGAATCATAAAAAAAGACCCCCAAAATCTGGGGTCATCTTATAGGACAGATACAAAACAAAAAAAAAAAAATTTAAATTTATATAAATTAAAACCATTATAAAATAAAACAAATCACTCACCAATGTATTTAAGATCCTGCAAAATCCTCACATTTATCATCTAAGGCAAATAGTTCCTCAAGTACCTCCTCACTTTCGTTGTTGAGAAGCTTGTCATATGGGTCCAATTCTGTACCTAGCGAGTTGATTTCCACTTTGTCATCAGTATCCCATAACAAATCGTCCTCAGTACCTTCCATAGCATTAGAAATTCCACACTTTTTGAAGAATTTGATCACTGTTTCCACTTTCACTTTTTCCCATGATTTGATCACGAAATCACACAGCACATCAAATGACGCAGCCCACAAAGCTCCACCTTTCATATATGACTTTTCACTACTCATCATCCAGTTATTCCATTGTTCACGTATGTGATCTTTGAATGGTTTAATCAGAGAGCCATCTAAAAGTTGTAGCATCAAAGTTAAACCACCTGGTATAACAGCAATCTTAGTATTGTTCCATGCTAAACGATTTTTATTGTTCTCAGTTACATGATTGCGAAACATATCTCACACCAACAAACTGTGCTTATTTCGTAGAGCACCTGGTTGCCTCTGCCACACATTTTCCATCCACACCATTACACCATTTTCATCCATCCACCCCTTTTTGTGAAAATATATGAAAATGCCTGGCAGGAATTTTATCTTAGTAGTAGTTTTCCTCTTGAAAATGATCATGGATTTTTAACTTTGTTCCATTTGCCATGCATGTTAATACTACTGTAAACCTAATCTTTTCATGGCTTATACTTCTGACTTGAACAGTTTTTACACCTTTCATTTCCACACTTCTATTGTTTATCATGTCAAAGTTCATCAGTGTTTCATCCATATTTCCAATATTAGATAATGGAAAGTTGTATTTTTGCCTCATACCAATAACAAACTTGTGAAAACTCATGACTCGTGGTCAAGATCTTGTGGCAATTTCTGTGCTATTTTTGTTTTCTGTCGTATTACCAATTTTTTTTGTTCATGAAATGGTTGCACCAACCCACTGTTGCTTTAAATTCTTTGTTTTGTTCTGAATTGGCCTATGTCCACTTCAATGCATAAGCCTTAATTGTGTTTCTTGTAACAACATAACAATTCTGCCTCTGTTCTTGTACCCATTCTGCAATGTTATTTTCTAAATTTGGCCAGAAAGCTAGTCCTCTCCTCACAGAACATTTTTTCATTGGCATTTTTTTAATAGCATCTTCATTCTTTCTCCAATCTCTTACCATCTTCTCTGTTATATCGAAAGCTCTTGCTGCAGCACAGTTGTTCGATTCTTTAGCCTGTTTTATGACTTTTAACCTGAAGCTTGCTTCATATTTCCTTCTTTTCGTTAGTTCCATGATTTTCTTTCCCCCGCCTTTATATTTTTGTTGCTCACATGTGGTACTTTTCAAAACTTGTTTCAGTGTTGCCAGATCTTAAAGCTTCTGCTTTTTGGTGTTGCCAAATGGTTTTTCTTTTACCCCATGCTTGCTCTATTGTTTCAACCATCACTGGATTTTAGGCATTGAACCATGCCTCTGACCCTGGGGACAATCTACACCTTTACATAAATATTAAAAGTTATGTTTATTGAGCTACTGAGGAAAAAACAGACAAACCATAATTATTTACCAGTAGTGAGTAGGGTATGTCCACAAAATAGAATGGCCCATATGACATTTTTATGAATAGTCAAGGTCATTATCCAAATACCCAAATCAGTGTGAATGTTTGTAACAATCGCAAGGCAGTGCGCCAGATGCAAGAAAATAAAATTTGTTCATTCAAAAAATTACAAATAGGACATAATTCCATATATGCTATACAGTATTACTATTCAGATGATGATCATTGATCTAAACTAAATTCATAGGCCATTGATAGTTTGGGTCGTCTTATAGGATACGCTAAAACTATAAAACTTTGACGAAAATTTATACCTCGTCTTATCTGAAGGTCGTTTTATCTGCGGAAATATATGGTATATTTAATTTATTTTGTTTCTGTTTTAGTTTTCTATTCTGATTTTTGTTCTATGGGTGGGTCACATGTTTGCCAATCTCCTTATTTGAATGTTTCAAAGTAAAAAATTGTTAAAAACTTTGAAAAGATGCTTAAAGGAAACACTTCACCAAAATATTTTGGTTAAAATTTGAATTTAAATTTAGAAAAATATTCCAGTTCATGGAATGATCTAAATTTGAACATCTGTCCCAATTTATTAGTTATTGGTTTACTTGGTTATTTGTTGTAGAAGAATTTACTTCGGAGATGGCCTTAAAAAAATGTAAAATATTTTAAGCTTAACATATGTCAACTGAAGATAACTGTTTAACATTAACATTAACAGGTTACTGTTAATGTTACATTCATTCAGTTTTGGATTCAATAAACACATCAATTTATTTAACTTATTACAAACTGGTATCTCAATAAATTCAAAAATCTGTCCATAAAAATTTAAAATAGATATGTAAAGCTTGAATTTATATTAATAATTTCAATATAAAAATAATAAAATATTACTTTGGTCCCTAACTGATGGGCATGAAAACGACGTGCATTCATTGAACTGGAAGTCATTCCTGTGCTGCTGAAACTCATGATGCTACATGTATCTTGATTAATAAAGCCACCAAGAGAATCCTTCTCACCTATACAGCTTGGTCCACTAACCCACAATACTAGAATAACAGAAAATTTTTTAATATTATGAATTTAAAAATATTAAAATATATAAAAAATTATATAATAACAATTAAAGAGCATTTTATTTTCTTATCTATTATATAAAAATATAATACAGTAGAGTCTTGAAAACTTGGCCTAATGTGGACCGAAGGGTGGCCTAGTTTGTGAAAATGCCGGGTTATTGGGAATGGGGTTAAAAAAAATAAGTATGAGTGTTTCCTCAGAAAATACTGTACTGTACTTGTATGTATTGTTTACTTGAGAATACAACAGAGAATAAACTGCCCAAATACCCTTAAACAAAGGAAAAGTACATCCTTTATGAAGGCATAGAGCCTTTACTACATGAAAATGAAAATTAATGAATACACTATATGTACAGTAATTTACCTGATAAGACAGACCTCAGAAAAATACTTTATGAGGCATAAAGCTGTCTATAATGAAAATTAATTAACTAAGGATTTTTTTTGCCTGCCAGGGTGTGGCCAAGTTATCCGGACTGCTGGGTTATCGAGTGCCGAGTTTTCAAGACTCTACTGTACCATTTTAAATTTTTCATATTTTCATTTAATAAACTTGCATTAATTAAGAATAAAAACTAATAAAATATTTTAAATTAAACTCATATAAACACACTCCATCAATCGTAAAACACAGCAAAAATTTAATAACTATAACATCTTTTATCGACAAATCTTTTTTAAACATTGCAATAGGCCTGTTAACCAATCATAAAAAATTTTTTTATAATTAGTTAACAGTTTTATTGCAATGTTTAAAAATTTGTATTCTAGAACATTGGCATTCTTTTGTATATTCTATATGAGGAAGATTGTTAAAAACAATTGAAAACGTTATAGTTATTAAATTTTTGCTGTGTTTTCAGGTTGATGGAGTGTGTTTACTTTACTTGGCAGCTGTGAATTAATTAAAGTCATATAAAATAAAATTACGATAATTAAAATGATTTCAACTGAAGAACAAAATAACCAAAACTCCAGTATAAAATGATAAATCATTTCAAGAGAAAACAAATGTTTTTGATAACTTTTAGTTATCATCATCAAGTTAAAATAAGTAGAGTTTGAGAAAAAAAAAAAGTTGTAGTTGTTCCCAATATACGAGTTGTCCCAAAAGTAATGCACAGTGTGCTCTAACAGGTGTTGTAGGCAACATAGACAGCTGATTGAAGTGTCAGTGTGTAGATTGAAGTCTTATGAACACATTGGTATCATATGGTAGTGGGATTTGTTTTGAGAAGGTTGAACAAGCATCAAAGACGATTGCGCGCAGGTGGCCATTTACTGTAACATCTGACAACACAAACACTTCAATCATTGCAACATTGCTCGATGAAGACATGAAAATCACAGTAAGAGAAATTGAGGAATAGACAGGAATCTCAAAAATGAGCGCGCATCGTATTTTAACACAGGTGCTAGGCAAATAAAAAGTGGCAGCATCAGTGCACTGATCATCAAACTTTTCAAAAATACAACTGGAAACAGCTCTGTCATCCAGCTTATAGTCCTGATCTGAGCCCACCTGACTTCAATCTCTTCCCCAAGCTGGAGGAACCCCTTCAGGGAGTGCGTTTTCTGACGCTGGAAAAGCTCTGAAGAGAAGTAACCCGACAGATTCGGATGCTCAATAAGAAGGGGATGCTGAACAGAATCCAAGAACTTCCACACTAGGGATTGCAATTGCTGGATCCCTCATCCAGCAATCCAGCTAGATCCAGCACATTTTTCAGCACTGGATCCAGCACCTGGTGCTGGATCCAGCGCTGTGGATCCGCAAATACTCAATTAACTTTCTAAATAATGGCACAAAAGTCTATGTTGTCGGCCTTGCCGCTTTGCTGCGTGTGCTATCACTCAGCGGCAAGAGTGACGTTGCCGTTCAGTGCAGCATGTGCTACACCCCCTCTCTACACTGCACCACCCACCCTTTTACCTCTGCTGATCTAATTGCCAGTTGACTTTCCGCTCTCATTAAATAAAGTGTCTTCGCACTAAATAAAATAAGTAACTCCAATACTAATCTTGGTGCATAATTCTAATTTACGGTTGGTTGTGACGTCAATGAATCACATGATGGAACGATTGCAGTTTAAACTGGCCGTAGAAGCTCTCTGCAGAAGAGTTGAGTTTGATAACTGCTGACATAACCCTAAAATTTGTCTTAGACAAACTAAAAAGCCAGGACACAATCTTGAGTGCTTACCTTTCTGAGGCACTCCACAAAAGAATCAGAGAATGGTGTCTTGCCAAGGTCACAGGGATGCTGATTTACATACAGAACCTGAAGAAGTATGACCAAAAAGTTAGAAAGATTTATCTTTCATATGCTGAAAAAAATGTAATGCACCAGGAGATGAAAAATATGATGAATTGTGTAAATACATATGTAGTGGAACCAGCAGCAATGGCAGAGGATATTACGGAGGTGGAAAACAATGATCCAGATAACCCGGATTTCCTAAATTTCACATTGGAACAAAAATTAGAGATCCAACTAAAGCGTGAGAAAGAAAACTTCATGAAACGGAAAGAAACTAGTACTGAGAAGAATTATGATAAGTTATT